TTTAATTGGCGCGATATTGGCCTGAGATTGTGTCAATCCGTACATGTACGGTGTAAAGGGCCGGTCAATTGTGTGCTCTTATCAGCCCCCGAGCTGGAGCATGCACCAAGGCGTCAACTTGAACTAAAGTTGGCAGCAGGTTTACACCCGAAATTAGCCTGGTGATAACGGGGGATGGCAGAGGCGCGTGATATGCCGCAATTTTTGGTTCTACCAGACGCAACCAACGACAGCTGCGTCTAGACTTGCGCCCAGCAGTGTAAAACTGCCATGTGAAGCCATTCCCCAATCGCGACCATCTAAGCAGGCATAGCTCCGACCGTGAACATGTCAAGGCTCCTCCTCGGGCAGGTTTTGATGCCAAGAGAAAACTGCTTGGCACAGATCGTGAGAAGATCATGGCGTAGTACATGGATCGTTGCTGTGGAGGCACGCGGACATGTCGTGTCCTTGCCGCCACGCGGCTAAAACCAACCAAGAAACATGTCGCAGTGACATATTGACTTGAGTAGTCGCGCAATCCGAAGGCTCCAGATAATCTCTTGCCTATGCCCAGGGACCCGTTGCTCGCGCAAATGCGCCAAACAGGACCAGACCGAAGCCACCGCGCCTCTGGTTGCGACCACCAACATCATTCGCAGCATGATGCCCGACGGCTATTTGCCTCTTCCCCCCTGAGCCGCAGAGCCGTGGAAATCCGATGAGGACAAAGGACCTTTTGATATGGCGTTGCTAGCCCACCACCACGAGCCCGTGGCCATGGTGTGGCGGTCAAAGCCGCGGCCACATGGTCTGGGGACTTATGCTTTGCTGTTTAACTTAAACGAAAACGCCAGTCGGGTTCATGCCACGCTGCCAAAGCTCCCGTGTCGCGTACCATGCCCCGATTCTGCCATCAGTTGATGCTCTGTGAACCCGCTTCGGGGTGTCATTGCAACGTCAACGTCGCCCAAGCACCCTGGTTAGGCCGGGCACGTACCGTCTCTGCCAGCTATTGATGGGGATGAGTACCAGCCCATCGGTGCGTGCCCATGGGGTTCTGTGGAGTTGAGATCGAGTTGATCTGACTCGTCGAAGTAGAACCACAAGCCGGACTTCCGCAGCGGGCATATCCCCCAAAGACTTGGCTTATATCTTGGTCTATTTGTTAGGTAAAAGCAACCGGCGTCATACGCTCAATGGAGGATTCGCCGGTGCTCAGCCCGTGTCAGGGATGTCAAATGTTGGCCAGCTTGGATTGGTAGATGTTGCACAAAGCACGCCACCAACTATTGCCCGTGCTTTTGGCTGGAGCAAGCCACCCCTCTCTAGTACAATGACAACCTGGCCAGTTCTCTCAGTCATTTGAGATAACGAAATGAGGTGGGCTATCCGCGGCAGCCCCCCATGGCGGCTCGGATGTCGCGGGACGGCCAAGCTGGAGCAGCCACGGGCGAGAGCCAGGTCTCAGTCGTGGACGCACCATGAGCCTCTGACTCCTTTACTATGTCACGAGACAAGAGTGAACTGGCTGTTCCCATTAATTTTATTCTTTTGAGACAACAGCTTAAACGGATAACAGTAGCTACAAGTGTTGAGGACGCTTTCTTACAATGGCTACACACAACACATGCGACAAGGTAGCTTAAGGAAACCCTTTAGGCTGTGCATAGAGCAGGTATGTACCACTCCTGGACGGAGATTTCAACTGTGGTCAAATAACTGGGAGGCGACCAATATCAACCCCATTTCATCTTAACATTGTTGCTCCTAATCATATTACTTGAGTCGAGTTCTATTGATTACCAATCGCAAATCTCTTCGGCGTCAGCAGCCATAGGACCGAAGTAATCTGGTCTGTGACCAAGCTTGACGGTATGACTTTCCGTTGCCGCCACGGTGCTATCGGCAGGTAGAGGCATTAATACTGTGTTCGGCAACGGATCACGCACAGCGTTTGCGTCAGCGAGTAGGCAATTTAGGTCATCAAATGAGTCATCTAGCAGGGCCTTGTCTTCTAGAAGCTTCAAACTAGGCTGCAAGCTTCAAATTACGAGCCAGCTAGCTAACCCTACGGAATGATGGCCATTTCCATGTTCAACTATAAGAGCCCCAATTCCCTCGATAGATAGATTCAATCAAGGACCAATTCCACCGTTCAATGAGATCCTTGGCTTTCAATCGTGATAGTTTGTACCGTCGTCCCAACAGCTGGTGTAGTCAGACACGTTGAGAATATTATTCGAGATGGAAGGGTTAACGTCAAGTTCGAGACATCATGTGCTCGGCCGCGACATTGTCTAACCCGTGCCTTTCCCACGAATCCGGCCGACGTATGGGGTTGTAATAACCTCCAAACATGACTCTGGTGAGTCTCGTGTGGGCTCTTTTACGACGTCGTTTTGCAACCCCGACCGAGAGGTAGCGTATTTCATTTGGGGGTTTTATTAGTTGCGGCCACAATTCCCAAGCGCACGCCCTTGAGTTTCTCATCTCAAGCTGAACGTCTCTTATATTAGATGTAAACATATTACAACGGAGGTGATGCACGCGACCTAGAACAAAGAGCGGTACAAAACTCAGAATCATCATCCCTCTACCTCTATAGATCTTGCCCCGATGAGCTACTTAGCTCTACAAGTGCAGGGAAGCCGCTATAGCCTGCCTCAAGAAAAGAGGTAAAATTCACCAATAGAATAAAAGTACTCTACAGAAGGAAGTACAGAGCGTTTAAAGACGATAAGAAATTGCGAGTACAACAAATGCATAATATCCCAGTTTTCATTCTCTTATAGGTTTCTGAGGCTTGAAGAGCCGTCTGAGCTGCCCAGACAGTCCCAAAGGAGCCTTGTCAGGAAAACAAACTTTCCACTGCAGAAATTCTTTTCAATTATTTGAAACACGTACCGTAGATGATTTTGGATATCATGGTGTAGCATAAGTCCTGCCATGACCGGGACTAATAAATCGAAACTCAAAGACATTTTATTCAATCTGTGTTTACTAACCATGAGCACTTCATCTACTGGACAGACGCGGAAGATGCCAGGTATTGCCGTACTTGTGTATCTCTCAGCTCGGTGTGATGGGCGCGTACTCACAGCATCCAAACTAAGTGCCGTATTCCATACTTCCTACGCTTACTCAATGTCCTGTGACGCAGCTGGTTAACGCATCTCAACCTTCTAATACTTGCTTCTTCAAACGCAAGCCAACTCAGGGTTGCTAGGGGCCGCGACGCCTTGTAATGTAATGTTAATAAGAAAGTTATGGGGTAGTGTACACGGCTCTAATGGTGGTCAATTCGACAGTGATTTATCCCTTGATGCTTAGCGCTCCATCCTTTAGAAGTAATAGCGGGGCTACTATTGTTGCGTCGTAAAATTTGCCAAAAGCCGTATTCAAAGACTGCGGATCACTCAGGGTCAGAGATTTCCATCTGATATTTGGGCCTAAGCTTGTTTGGAAGTCCCGATAGCAACTAGTGTAGCTAGTGAGTAAGGGACTTGGTGCTGAATGTGGACAATTATATATCTGGCAGATATTTTTCTAAAGTGCCCGGTGTTCTTAATATTTTTAGCTGTACTATTTATTGTGGCAACGAATGCGAACATATTGTTGTGGATAGTGAGCACCCTGGTTCAGCCACTTGCTGGAAAATGGTCGGTTTGTATTTGTGGGCCAATCTTCTCAGCAATATCGTTTTGAACCGTTATAACGCCGTGGTGAAAGTGCGGTGTCGCGGTGACAGGTAGAGTGAGGAAAAGGGGGTCCGAACCAACATGCTGATTCGCTCCAAGAATTGCTAGAGTAGAGTAACTAGGTTGTGGAATAGATTTAATAGATAGTGGGAAAATAATTACCTATGGTTTGTATCGTGTTCTGCGAAGATTTTCCTAGAAGTGGCGGCAATGATATTTGTGTATGCGTTGTCTTATAGAAACGAGAAAATGTTGAGACTGCTCGGTAAGTCGCCAAATCGGAAATAGTACACGTAAAATGAAGTATTACCAATCTCTTAGTAACTTGTTTCAAATCTTTGAGTAACCTGTATTCTTACATAGAAACCTGTCCTGTCCATCTAATTTGGGGTACTGCCATGGCCTTGTTGTGGGTTAAATGCAGCAGTCCCTGCTTTGGTCAAGCTTAAGAGAAATTGTGAAACGGTCTCAATAAGTACGGTTACTCCTCGGTGGGATATCTATCTTGTTTTAGATATCGCAAAGTGATCTTTGAATGCAAGCAACTCGAGAAGTGTTTGGCATTGGTGGCTTTCTCACCTGAGGCAAGTGTTGTTCTACCAATTCACATTCTTCATATTCCCTCATAGGAATCCTGTTGTTCTAGTCAGCTTTTTATTTCCTGACATATTTACACATTTGTTGATCATAACAGCATTGGAGTACGTAAATGGCTTTTCTTTCACCCAATCATAGTGTAAGCTGCGGATTTTCCAAATACGTCTTACTGGAAAGAGTTACGGAGAGCGCTCATGATGCATTCGACGAAACTTATTTTTAAACACTTTTACGGGCGTATGAGCTTGAATGCCGAATGATAACCCACAACTTATTGGCTTGTTCCGAATTAGTAAACGTTTCACCATTGTTGACATCTTTTATCACACCTACCCTATACTAAACTACAGATTTGATAATCTCCAACTTCGATCTTCACGAACTGAATACTACGAGTCGCGTTCCAAGGCGAGTGTTGTTATAGCTTTCTTCTGATGGAAGAATTAGCTACATGTTGTGATGGCGCTTTGAAGTGGCATACATGGGAACATGACGATACCCAAAGTAAGTTAGTTGCCACCACAGTAGCTCAGTGCAAACTTCCCAAGTCCAGTTCCTGGGGGTTCACAAGCACTCATTTCTCACTTCTCTTGTCATAAACATGAATCTATTGTCGTTGTCAGTAACCTGGTCTTGTTTGTAGATAACAGATATGCGTGTCTATTTAGATATTGTATTTGAGCCATACATACGCCTCTTGGTATCTGTCACATAAGAAAGCGCTCAAGCAGAGCTAGACAACACACTTTCAATCCATTGCTCAACCGAAGTTGGCTCCCTCTCCAAAAGCCACCTCATGACGTTGGGGCTACCCTGCAGTCCGCGACGATTGTAATACAAAATGAGGCGCTCGACCGTGTCTCGGACCAAGTCGCCTCGAGGATCGCCCTGGTTTCCTGTCTTTCCAGTCTTGTCCCCATAAAGAAACTCCATCAATTTGTCCGACCCAGCTTCCAAAGATGGAACTCTAACCTCGATTTGCTTTCCGATGCGCTTCTCGACCAACTTGACCACCTCCGTCTCTGCAATAGGCGTCGTCGAGCAGAGGGGATACTCGGCCAGGAAATGGCGTTCTCGCTCATTCAGAACCTTGGCCGACACTTCCGCCAGGTCTTTGAGGGAGACCAGACTGCTTGCGTAGTTTGGCGACCACCACTTATCGAGCACCGGTTTCTCCTGAGAGGCAAGCCTTGCGAGAGGGAAGGTGTCCATAAACTGCAATGGATCAGTACATATGTTCGGCGTAAAAAGTGTAAGAAAAGGGTCTATTTTGGTGATACTAACGTTTACCGGCTTCAGAATAGTCCAGCAAGTGATTGGACTTAAAAAGAGATGTTCCTCTACATAGCTTTTGAGGTCATGATGCAACAGAGTTCTGTGTTGAGTTGAAAGAACACTGGAGAAGAGGAAATGTTTGAACACATTACCCTCGCGTCGTGATTCAATAACAGCAGCATCGATCAAGTTGAAGCCCATGACCTTCTCATGGGAATGCAGACTTGGCAGAACCGCATTGATGGCTGTGGCGCCCTCAAGCAGCTTTGTGCATTCAGCGAGCGACTGCAGATCCACCGTCACAACTTCTGCATCCGGATAGAGACTCTTCAGTTTCTCGGCAGACTGTGCTGAGTGAGCCGCTAGTCGGAGCTGGAATTTGCCCTTGTTGTAGAGCAAAGGAATGAGGCGTGAGCATTGTTTGCCCCCAGGGCAGGTGATGACCAGAATCTCAGACATGATGGCTCCCGCGTTGCGCTGTTCAATTTGCTAGTTTACAATGAATCTATGTTGGATAATTTACTCTTAAGTAGCGTTTACATGGCACAGTCTTACTGCTGATCGGCCTCGAAATATGCCGCGCTGCGTCTCGCAAATACATGTCCAGCGAGACATTTAGCCCGGAGTTTCTATCTATACTCGGGGAATCACAGCACGTGCTGGTGTGTTTACCCAGAAAGTTTGGCCGTAATCACTGTGGAGTGCGGCTCTACCGCATGTACTTGTTGTTGTGCCTCGACTCGTTGTGAATGTTGTGGCAACTCGGCATGGACAGCAATCATTCACACTACGGAGAAAAACACAAGACCTAGATTATCGGCTACGGAACTCGGCTGCTCAAATAGGACAACTCGAAAGTGCTGTTGTCTCGCAAAAAAAGCTAGCGATGCCTCTGCATTCCTCGCTCGACGCTGACGGTGTTAAGCTGGGTCGACTCGGCTCCAACTACTCTACAGAAAGAATTGGGCAACGGCACCCACAGCAGCGATACGATATTGCACGATTCAGGATCCGAAACGGGCTACCTAATCCAGTAGGTCCCACTGGGAAAACTGTCACTCATTCCGAGTGGTTGTTTTCGAAGGAGACGACTACAGTTTCGGGGAGACATCAGGCTACTGCATATTGATTAAACCCGGTCAATAAATGACCAACTCGGCCGACATTTCATGTTGCATAGAATCCTTGCCTATTCCTACCACCCACTTCCGCAGGTGGCCAATTATCGACATGGATTTGGCGAGCTGTGTGAATGGTCACCCCTTCAGATTCCTATAGATACTCCGAGCCGAGGGTTACACAAGGTGGCGACGAATGACCATCAGATACAGTCACTGATCAACAGACGGGGCCGCGGACTTGTCCGGTTTAGGAAAATCGACGGGGGACGGTGAAAATTCAGCGGCTTGGTCCAAAAGCATCTGATCACAAGCCACCGCCGTTGACCAACTAGTGCTGATGGATTAGATTAGATAGATTATGGGAGCCTCGGACCACTTGTGGCATGGCATCCACGGAGTGGCAATCTAGCACGATAGCGACGGAAGCGTTGCCTTGGCTTCCCACTGTTTGATCACACATGGGTTAGGGAAAATTCTTTCTTGCTCGTCTAAGAAGACGCGCTGGTGTGCCGTGGCATGTGTGTTGTTTCGGATGTACTCGGGTTTAACTAGTGGAAGCAGGCAAGCAATTCATACTTGTACTTGTTTTCCTACATTGCCTTTTTCTCTATTTGAAGCTCATGGGCCGTGGTCCCTCGACGAGCCGTTGTTTCCTTCTTTCCACGGCTTCCTCTCCAAGCAACGTGCGCAAACTCGCTCACCATGGCAAGCAAAAGCCCCGTTGCGAGCGACATCACGTCGCCAGGCTCTCACAATGAAGACCATACGGCAGCCGCCCCAGCTGGGACCGTGGTCCAGTCACAAGGCGTAACTCGCATGGAGGCCATCTATCGCTCGACCAAGACAAATAAGAAGACCTTGTGGCTGGTCGGTGGTTCCGTCTTGGTTTGCGCCTGGGCGTACTCCTTGGATTTTGCAACGACCAACAACTACGCGGTTGACGTCTCCTCGTACTATCATCAGCATAGCTCGGTTCTCTCAACTCTGGCCATTGTCACGAACATTATTAGCGCCGTCAGCAAGCCGTTTATTGCCAAGATTTCCGACATTACGAGCAGGCCATACACGTACATCTTGGCGCTCGCCTTTTATGTCGTCGGCTACATTGTCGCGGCGACTTCGCAATCCATCTCGGCGTACGTCGTTGGTGAATCATTTGTCGCCTTGGGAAGCTCTGGCATCGACCTCGTCAACGACATCATCGTGGCCGATCTGACGCCGCTAGAATGGAGGGGATTTCTTGGAGCTTTGCTCTCCACGCCATTCATCATCAATACCTGGTTTGCGGGAAAGATTGTACAGGCAATGCTGTCCAGGAATCAGTGGAGATGGTATGTTTACGGCCGCTCTTGTATTCCACCCTATTCGATGCTGACTTGTCTGTCCCAGGGGCTACGGAATGTTTGCCATCATCATGCCGGTGGCCGTGGGCCCAGCCATTGCCACACTGATCTATCTCGACCGAAAGGCGAAAAAGACTGGTGAGGTGAACCTCGCATCGAGTGGCGAAGCCCATCGCGTAGAGAAGGAGGCTGCGGATCAAGCAGCCCGCGGTGAGACAGTGGTCGACACAGTGACAATGGCCAAGCCCGAAGGAAGCTGGCTCCAGAAGCTCCGCCGCGGATTAATCGAGATTGACGCGTTTGGTCTGCTGCTGCTTGGCCTTGGCTGGACTCTTTTGCTGCTTCCATTCTCGTTGAAGACGTACGCACGGAAAAGCTGGGCTAATCCTTCCCTCATCTCCATGTGGGTTATCGGAGGTTTGTTCTTGATTGCCTATGTGGTATATGAAATCAAATGGGCAAAGATGCCTAGCGCGCCGAGACGGTTGGTATTCAACAAAACTTTCATTGTCTGCGTCATCATCGAGGCATCGTATTTTGGTAAGTTCACTCCCCATATGTCGTTATTCTGCATACATTCACTGGAGGCATATTGACACCAAGTTGCTAGTTTCCGGGATGATGCGAGGCCTTTACTGGTCTTCGTATGTCTATGTTACGAAGCCATGGAGCTATCAGAACTGGGTCTACTATAACAACTCCCTGACTCTCGCTCTCTGCGTATTTAGCCCTCTTGCTGGGGCTTTGCAGCGATGGACACATCGCTACAAGACGATTTGCATTATTGGTCTTTGCATCAAGGTGATTGGTATGGGCATTATGCTCAATGGACACAAGGCAACCGTCAGCACCGGCGCGTTGGTCATGACGCAGGTCCTCATCGGCGGCGGCGGTTCCTTGGCTGTTGTTGGAACTCGCGTGGCATCTCAGGCCAGTGTGCCACACCAAGACGTAGCTCTCACGATTTCGCTCCTTGCTTTATGGTCTAGTATTGGGAGGAGCATTGGAAGTGCCATTGCCTCCGTTATATGGGCCAACCAAATGCCAAAACAGCTTCGCAAGTATCTTCCAGCCAAGGCCACGGACAAGGATGTTCAAGCTCTGTTCAATAACATCAAAAAGCTTCGCACAGCCTATGCTTTTGATACAGATATGAAGAAGGGAGCCATCGAAGCATACCAAAACGCCCTCTACTATCTCCTCGCTCCTGCACTTGGGCTGGCGTTTGTTCCCTTGATTGCTGCTTTCTTCATGAGCAACTTCTATCTTGGCAAGCAGCAAAATGCCGTGACGAATGTGGGTGTTGATGGACTGCCTCTTGATGAGCAGGATCGAAACCCTGAGCCGTCACACAAGCCTTTGAAGGAGAAAATCAAGGGGCTTTGGAAGGCCTAAGGAAACTGTCCTTGATGATCGCCGTGTTTTGAATAGGCAGTATCTTCCAGGGCCAACAATGATACAATGTCCAAACTGGAATGCGATATGGGCAATGAGTCAACAGGCGACCAAAGTCCAACATAATCATATAACTGGTTGTATATACTTCAAGTAGCTGATATGGGTGTACATTGTACCCAGAAAACCAAGGTTTTGATAGCGCAATGCTGAATCCCGCGATACCCTCTAGCTGTCTGCAATAATCGAAGAACCAGAGAATTGAATATAATATATAATTTTGACGCAAAGACTCCCTCAAATGATATAACGACTTGAAGAAAACGCTATTGAGCCAAGGCCTTTGACAGTGGGCAATGTCTATGGCGTCTCGAAGGCAATGGTAGAATACGGGGTCAACCATCAATCATGCCAGGGTGTAAACTCGGCTGCTGTCAATTTAGTTCAATAATACAATTTCTGCTGCATACAGCGCCACCCAAATAAGGCCGTGTTTAAAAACGATTAATAATACAATAAATACGGGTAGCGAGCTAGCGTCTTGGGTTGGATTGAGTTCGAAGCTATTGAAACTTAATATTACCAGGAGCATGTCTACGGCTACATGCTCACTACAATCGCGAGCTTGACAAAGTACGAAATGCACATGCAATGAATAACGCCTCTGGATCATTGCCACTAGCATCCTTGTTTATTGAGTTTATTAAATTTTGAAAGCTATGCAATTTCCTTTGTACTCTTGCCGAGTCGCTTCTGGATCTGTGTATACAACCCCTTCTGCTTGAAGAACCAGTAATTCTCTGCCTTGAAAGTGGTGTGGTCGATGGCTTCAAACTATTCAGAGCAGCCGTCAGCGCTGTAAATGCATCGGGGGGAACAAAACAAACCTCGTAGTTGAGAACCAGGAACGGTACAATCTTCTTTATCTCAAAAATTCCAATATACCGTCCTAGGCAAATACGCCGGCCCGCGCCAAACTGGCAATAACTGAGTTAGCGGACACCACCGGGAGAGGCTCATGGTCTTGACTCACGGTAAGCATGACGTTTTCCATCTTCTTCTTGTGCTCTGCATCGCCCTCCAACCACCTCTCTGGCCGCCAGAATTCTGCATCCTCTCCATACATCTTTTTACATCGATTGGTGACGTATGGACTGGCCCCGACAATAGTTCCTGCGGGAAGGAAGTGGCCCAGCATTGTGATGCCGCCTTCGGGAACGACACGCTCAAAGGGCAAGGCGAATGGGGGGTGTACACGAAGTGCTTCGAGAACACAGGCGTCCAGGTACGGCAGCGTGCTTACTTCGGTCCATTTGGGATATGGTCGGGACACGCCTGCTTCTTCGAGTTCCCGGACCAATTTTTTAAGTGTGTGCGGGCTTTTTAGTAAATTGTACATGACAGTTTGCATAACCGTGCCGACTGAGTCTGAACCCGCAATAACATTGGAAAACGTCCACGACGTCACGGCCCTGTTTCAATGCTTACATGTTAATATATTCTGCTTTCACGGGTCAAATGCATCAAGTAGTGTATACGCTTTATGATCTTACCAAGCCGGAATATTGTCATTGCTCCTTTGAATCTCGATGTATCGGTC